TTTTAACCTCTGTAATAAAAGTTGTACTAACAATTATAATATTAATTGTCGTATCACCATTGTATTTACATTGTGGCCCAATACTTCAAGTCTGATAGTAATTAGTAATTTTGATTAATATTTATTCAGTACTAGTTTAGAAAAAACAAAAACAAAGACTTCTACCCTGTCATTTAGTTTTCTGAAATTTCCCCCCATAGTCATAAAATACTGCGTAGCCACTGAGGATGCTCAATTGTTCTGTTTAGGGGAATCACAATGATCTATTCCTGCAAATCTCAGTATTGAATCCATGCAGTGTGGGTCTTAAAATATAAGTATAGGAACTTCTGCTAATAGGAAATAAGGTGTATGTTATTTGAGGTTTTTTATCTATTGCAGAGCTGCATTCAATATTATGAATATAGACTTTCCAGGCAGCCGGTGATATGTGCAGAGTTATTATGCTCCAGGAACGTCTACATATTTCTGAATAGAACTGCAGCTGGGAAATATTTCCTCTGGCAGATTGATATTGTAGGATGCAACATGTAATCTTTTCTTCTGCAGCTATGCAATTGAGAGAGGGGAAAACTGCATCTTTGTAGAAGTGGAAGTATAAAATTTAATATATCATAATTTGGGAAATGGTTTCCTGATATTATTGCTTTAGAGAGAAAAGATGTGGACAATGGGAGTTTTGACAGCTTTGCTAAATTTTCATCTGAGATCATTGTTATTGGAAGAAGAGACAGACAATATTGGAAAAAATACAGTGACAGCATAATAATCATTGCTAGGTTTCAGTTGAATATGGAGTTATCTTTCCTTGCCTTTGAACATGTCAAAGGGTCTTTGTCTCAAAGTTAATTTTTGAGCTGAACTTAAATATTTAACTGAATTATAAAAATATAAATAAAATAAAAATGGTTTCAGCTGCATCCAGGTATGCTATCTAAGAATTATTGTAAATATATTTGCTTGCTTTAGAGATAATTAAATCAGGGAAATCTGTATCAGACTTGTAAAGAAAGATGCACAAAATGTATGGATTATTCCTTGCATGAACAAACAATTCTGGGTGGTCCATCCATAGATTTAGTCACATGTTCCATCCATCCATGGGCCCAGAATCTCTGTACTCTGGCCACACAGGTATTTTCCCATTTGGAGAGAGGAGAAAAAAGGGAGGAGTGATAACTTAAAAGGAAATGAAAGAAAGGTAGGTGTGGGAAGATTGGAGAAGAGTCAAGCACTCTAATTGGCGAGGGTGATGGATAGACATTTAAGGAGATACAAGGGAAAGGATAATGAAAGAAGATTAGGGCAGGTGCAGATGGTTATGCTGCACTTAAATTCAAGGGAAGCCTAAATCACAGTGACACATAACTATTGGGAAGTAAAGGAAAGAAACCAGAAAGAAGATTGGGAGACGGGGACCAACGTTGCCTACTAACCCAATGAATCCCTTTTGAATTTGACTCTACTGAAATGTAAAACAACCAAGATGTACATTTACATTTGGCTGAATTTCAGCGCTCTGAAGCAGTCTGTCTGAATTTGTGTGAATACTGTGCAGGGAATAGTATGCATTTTTTTTCTTCTTTTTTTTTTTGCTGAGTGCGTAGTTTGCTACAGATTGAATACTGCATGGAACACTTTTGAGATTGCCACCCCCCCCCCCCTGTGCATTTTACCCTATTTCAAAATACTCAGTGCCCAAGATCCACAAAACTATCCAGCCTGCAAAATGGGCAAATCTGCTAGATATTTTTCCTGCTACCACTTGACTCTTGTGCATTGTACAAGAGGTACTCTAGTTGCCTACTTTGGCTTGCATTCAACATAAGATGCTATTCTTTGAAAAAAAAGTTTGCTCAGGCACTTTTGGGAATAGTTTGTTTAGATGCTGCATTTAAGTCCTTCCCAAATTGGTTCTTTCTAGCTGTGTTAAGAATCCCATCATTTTCAATCAGGATTGATTGTGTTTAATAATCGATTACTATTACTACTTACCAATTGTATTAATTATGATATTTTTATGCACTATTTGTGATAGTCATTTCCACACACATAAGCTGCCACAGATTATAATAGGATTTTGTTTTTAATCACTGAATGTCATGTTAGCTGTAATGCCTCCATGACAAATACATTATTTGGAAATATAATGATATTAACAGAGGTTAACTGAATTATTCCTGTGGGAAATGCAATTTGAAGTTCCAGGCATGTGTGAAAAATCTCTAACATAACATTGCTATTATAATCACATTGTAAAGATGGCTCATAATCCTGAATGGTGTTTTTTTTTTGTAGTCCTACAGCCTAACATTTCTGTGAATGTAATATTAAAAATCTGCAATATTAAGTTGTTTAATATTTAAATATTAATATTTAGTTGTTGGTTGAATTTTCGGCCTATGAATGATGGGCATGATTTGAGGGAAAATTGAGGGAAAATTTGAGGGAAAATTGATGTTATTCTTAAAATCTGATTCTGTTCATGAAACTTTGGTTGTAATCTGTTGGGGTTGTTAAGTGGGGGACCTGATTTCATTTTATGACCACTTTTATGAAGCAAATCACGTGGTTGGTATGTAAATCATATGATCATTAACAAAGCACATGATCATTAAGCGAATCCATTCTTTCAGATTGGTGTTTTTGTCATAAACTAATAAAAGAAAGCATCACAAATTGCTATTATGTTATTGGGATGCTGCAATGATTGTAAATGCAAACTTGTTGCCAAGTACCCCGAGTAAGATCACATGACTGCATGGGGTACACAAGGGTTGTAACTTAGAGGAGGGATCATAAATAATTATTTTTGAGACTGATATAACTTTGGTTGTCAAATGTTAAGTGAGACAACCTTTAAATTTAAATTTTGCAATAGATCTGACATAGGTGGAATTTTGTGAATATGTCTATGGAGATTCTGTCATCCAGGTCATGGTTGTCCCATAGGTGTTTTTTTCCAAGAGGCAACTGGAGTTTCCCGTTTTCTTGTGAAATTTCTTGTGAAATTATGCATAGTCTGGTAAATGGAAAATTAGGCCCTAAGAGAGATACTGTAAGGAACTAGGTTGCATGCTTACCTGCATAGTTGTACAGCCATCTGTTGTGATCAGCCACTGAAAAATCATCAAATAAGTGAATTAGTTATTCAATCAGCAGGTTGTATAATCTGAAGGTTATCAGGGCATGAATAACTAAAACTATTGCATTATGTGATCCATGTATTGGGATCTCAAAACTGTAAATTTCACGTTTTGGGGGAAGTACAATTCCTTCCTGATCAAGTTGATTATCAGCTATGTAGGTATATGAATCAGATTACCAATACCTACATGGAAGGCTTTATGCAGTATATAAACATTTTTCTCAGTGCCTCTTGTAGAGTAATCTGCTACATAGAGGCCTGGCTAAAAACTAGTTTCTTAGTTCATGCTTCAGAGATCATATAGATAGGCAGCCAGAGTTATTTTTTTTTAAAGCAAGAACAAATTGATTTCACACTCACATGGCAGGAAGTAAGTTGGGTTTTGCTGTAAAGAATATATGCAAAAGTCTCTTGAGATATTTGGGGAGTGTGTATTTTGGTACAGAAAGAGAAATGAATGTAATTGTTTTAGCTAAAACTATTATGAAAGCATAATACTACTTTGCAATAAAAACAAACCAGAAGCAAAAATGACAACAACTTAAGTATAAAACTGTGAGTGAAACACAAGCTAGTATCACATTTCAGAATGCTTAAATACGTTATTAGTTGATGCTGAACCAATAATAGAGGCATGTCAGTTCAATTGTAACTAGGAAAATATTCCAAACAAGGTAGACTTTCTCCTTTCCCAGTATCTGGGTTTTTGAAGACCTGGAGAGGTTCTGCATTCCTAGATTAATAAGGCATGCTAGAGATTGATTTTTGGAGCGCTCTGTGTTTATTCTCTTAAATGGTGTGTAGCTTGCTTTCTCAAATCCAGTCCCTAACATTATGAATTTTAATATGATAATAAGGGGAAATTATTACTTGTACTATTAAATACAAGACAAACATAATACAGGTAGCCCTCAATTTACAACCACAGTTAGGATTTCTGCCGCTATGCAGTGTAATTGTTAAGTGAGTTGTGCCCTATATTACAACCTTTTTTTGGTATGGTCATTAAGCAAATCCAGCTTAACCCATTTCATTATTGGAAGCCCCTTACTGGGTTGCAAATGATGGTCATGTGACTTGGGACACTGCAATGGATGTAAATACATGCTGACAGCCAAGTGATCACATGAATCTGTTTTATTCTTTTCTTGATGGTGCAAATTTCTTCATAACTATCTTTTTTTTGGTCCTGAGGTACTTAAACTTTCTTTGCTTAAAATGGCACAACACTGCCCTCTATGGGTAGCTTTTTAGTTTCTGCTTCATTGGTTGGCAACAGTTGTGATTACAAAAACTAGAAGGAAGATATATTTTATATTTTATTTATTTATGGTCTGGGGGTATGGCATTCAACAGCCTTCAGACAGGTTGCACTGAACTGCCTTGTCCACTGGATGGGCACATCAGAACTATGAACAAGATATGTATCCCCATCCAACCATAATACACCATTATTTATGATTTTGATTTTTAAAAATCTGTTGCAAACCTTATTTTGGAAGCATAAAATATATACCTTATGAATAATTCTACCTCTTTACTTGATGAGCATATTGTTATCTCCAGTTCTGTTAAAGGCTCTTTAAACGTTTATTACCAGTTGTAAAATGGCATAATGTATGGATTTATTTAAATGTATTTTTAAAGGCAAAGAGCCTTTTCATTCAAATTAATAATTCTAAGAAGGAGGACCACAAATTATTTACGTTGAAGGATTAACGTATTGCTCCTAGTTCTAGACGTTTAATGGTTTGGGGGTTTTGAGGGAATAAAATATAATTTGGTTTAAAACGTGAAGCATTTCAGTATGTTTATTGACAGTCACATATATAGTTTTTGCTTTTCATTTCAGCTGTAGTCGTGACATGGAGAATAAAGAAACCCTCAGGGGATTGCAGAAAATGGATGATCGCCCAGAGGAGCGAATGATCAGGGAAAAACTCAAGACCACATGTATGCCCGCTTGGAAGCATGAATGGCTGGAAAGAAGAAGTAGGAGAGGCCCTGTGGTAAGTATCTCTGAAATCACTTAAAAAGCAGACTTGTTGAAATCACAGAATTTGTTTTCTTGTCTTACATTACCTTACAGTACCTACTATAAGGTAATGTAAGACAAGAAAGCAAATTATGTGCAAGAATTTGTGCAAATGAAGCAAGAGGAATTTCATCACAATTCATTACAGTACCAATAAAGAATTGTAATGAAATTCCTCTTGCTTCATTTTTTTTTCATGTTGCTGTTTTCACTGGAAGGATGGATCTGCAAAGCTTCACCAAAGTCAAACCCAACTTAAACTTCTGTTGCTTTAAAATGACACAACACTGCCCTCTATGGGTAACTTTTTCGTTTCTGCTTCATTGGTTGAAAACAGTTGTGATTACAAAAACTAGAAGGAAGATATATTTTATATTTGTATTTATTTATTTATACCCCGCATTGTTATTTTTACACTAAAACAATGTGATATTTGATATCAGTTATATAATATGCCTGTGGAAATTGATACAGTGAGAGAGGCAATGTTTTCCAAAATATAAAACTCAAAACAGTTTGGGGGCGTAGTTTTCATTACCAAATATTGAAGAAATCAGTGCTGTTTTCTTGGAATGTAATACATTATAATAATTTATTAAACTTGGAGAGAAGAACCATAATAATTGTGAGATGCTGCATACTGTATGAGAAAAACTGGACTCACTGTAAATAACATCACTATATTACTAGATTTTCATAAAGTAGATATCCTCATAAATTAAACTTAACTAACTAAAAATAGATGCTGATTAGCATTAAAAAAAACAGTTTGTGGAAATCCCTTCCTCCATTTGTTTACAATTTAATAAGAATATTTGCTTTCTTTTGGAAAACAGACTTTTTTTTCTATTGTTTCAAGGTGGTAAAACCAATACCAATGAAAGGAGATGGCTGTGAAGCAAACAAATCAGTAACAGAACCTCCTCCTGATGGACAAACAAATCCCACTTCACCTACTCAGAAAGGGAGACGGAGCCCTTCTCCGAGTGGACCCATCTCATCTTCCTCCAGGACTGTTAAATCTGAGTCACCTGGTGTTAGAAGGAAAAGGGTGTCTCCTGTACCTGTAAGTAATTATGAGATAGCCTAAGCTTATGAAACCAAATTCACATATCTCCTTCCATATCAGCTGATATCTTGACTTAGGAAGTCTTTGGTTTGATGGATATTAAATGGTGCGTTAGTTATGTTTAATGTAGTGTAAACTCATTTTACCTTATTATATTTTGCCCGTTTTTGCTGTTTTAATTTCTGATTGATTATAAACTGCATTGATTATTGGATTATCTAAATCAAGGATCTCCAACCTTGGCAACTTTAAGACTTGTGGACTTCAACTCCCAGAATTCCTCAGTCAGCTGAGATACTCTGGGAGTTGGAGTCCACAAGTTTTAAAGTTGCCAATTGTATAGGTTTGTATGAGGAATACATGTTACAGCTGGCTTAGAAAAGCGTAGAAGTAATATTTTTATAGTATTTAGTGGAGGAACTGTTACCATTTCTTATTATCTAATTATTGTATGCATTCTATTAGTTTGGAAGGAGATAGCTGAATATTTTTTGAAAGATCGAGGAATGGGAAAATGAAAAATAGAGACAAAAAATTACTGAAAATAAAATTAATGTTTAAGTTTCAGAGTGGACGTATAACACCCCCACGAAGAGCACCGTCTCCAGATGGCTTCTCACCATATAGTCCTGAGGAAACAAATCGTCGTGTCAACAAAGTCATGAGAGCTAGATTGTATCTCTTGCAACAGATAGGACCCAATTCTTTCTTGATAGGGGGAGACAGCCCAGATAATAAATACAGAGTGTTCATTGGTCCTCAGGTATGAATTGAAACAGCGTTGACTATTTAATCAATAACTATTAAGAATGAGAACTATTTGAGAAGATGTAATTAAGATGAGCTCTTTAGGTATAAGAGAACATGTGAAAATGCGGAAACATTTCTTGCTTTCCAGAAGTTGCTTGACATATTTTATTTCTCACTTGTATAAATCAGAACATAGGTATTGACAAGTGTCAGTGAAATATAAACCTATATGAATGCCATGTTGATTATGTCAGCAACAGCAGTAGCTTGGAAAGAATAAAGCCATCATTAATCAATTACTTCTTGTTTTGAAGAAAGCAGAAACATAATCCTCATAAATCTGTAACAAGTGATTGGGGGGGGGGAGGTTACAAAAACAATATAATATGGCCATGATAATCACAATAAATAAATTTCCATTTACAGACATGTAGCTGTGGCCGTGGAACATTTTGCATTCATCTGCTGTTTGTTATGCTTAGAGTGTTTCAACTTGAATCTTCAGATCCAATGCTGTGGAGAAAAACCTTAAAGAACTTTGAGGTAGTTACATCTTATTTCTTTTGTCAAAAATAAACAGTTGTGACTTCTGAAATTTACCAAATCCTTCCCACTCTCACGACCTTCCGAAAGGCTACCAAAACCTGGCTATTCCTGCAGGCCTGGGGCTGTTGACCTCATGAATGAGGTCCAGCCCCGCCTAGATTGAGTGCATGAAGTGATCTTTTAATCTGTTTTAATCTGTCTTCTTTCTCTATTTTTAATTCTTTATTTTTTAAAAAAATGTAAGCCGCCCGGAGTTCTTCGGGATTGGGTGGCCTATAAATTTATTAAATACTTAAATACTTAATACCATACAGAATTTCTACAGTTTCAAAATTACGGAAAACTGATCGTCTTATTTCTAAAATCAGTTAATAACAAGTGTTATTCTAATATCAAATAAATGGATGAAGTTCCCTGAATAAATTCTCCATTATTATTTCTCCATTTTAGTAAGTGGAATTAACAGGGTTAGCTAAAAGACCATGTTCTTTCTCCCTATATATATAGTCATTGATACTGACTATTGACTGTTTTTTCTCTTTAATTATATAGATATTTAAATTTGGAAAAGTTATCTTAGTTATCCTTAGTCTTGGCTGATTATTGCTGTAATATATCCATTAACCATGAGAAAGATCAGGGCAGAGGATGATGTCATGTAGCTTTTAAACAATGGTAAAAAGTTTGGCCCTATTCATGTATTATTTTATTAATATAGTTTATCTAACTTAAGTGGTATTACTTCTCTTGTTCTTCAGGGGGTAGCATCATGAGTTTATGTCAAATTGAAAATTATGAGCATTGAACATTTAATTCTCATATCTAAAATAGAATTTGGCAACATTTAGCATCTATATTTACATTCCCATAAATAAAAGAGAGAGAATGTGTACATATATGTGTCTAATTACAAAAGATACCATTTACAGAATTCATCCTTACCATAGTTGGTATTTATAGTATGCTGTTATTTTATATATGTGTATTTATTTTGTAAACAATAAATAAATTGATATAATTTTACCTTATAGTCTGGTTGCAATTATATATTTATTTAAGAGACCTCAACTTTGAGTAGTTCATATTCTAATCCTGTCTATAAATATTTTCTTCCAATGTTAGGTTGAGAGTTTGTTCCAGAAATACCACAGTAGGCGTAGTTCAAGGATCAAAGCGCCATCTCGTAACACCATTCAGAAGTTTGTCTCACGCATGTCAAACTCTCATACACTGTCATCTTCTAGTACATCTACATCTAGTTCAGAAAATAGGTTAGTAATTATTATTAAGAAATCAGTACTGTTGTTCAAAATAGTCTCCATTTTTATAGACAACCCTGTGACTCATTGGGTCATCCTTTGAGGGTATAGTGCAGTGGTTCTCAACCTGTGGGTCGGGACTCCTTTGGGACCCTTTCACAGGGGTCGCCTAAGACCATTGGAAAACACATATTTTCGATGGTCTTAGGAACCGAGACACCAATTTTATGGTTGGGGGTCACCACAACATGAGGAACTGTATTAAAGGGTCGTGGCATTGGAAAGGTTGAGAACCACTGGTATAGTGTGAAGTGACCAGAATGAACACTAAATTTTCCTGAACTATATTGCTGTCACACAAGTGGGCAAAAAAGAAATGGGAGCGGGACTACCTCCTGCTGGCTTCCCCACTGACTTTATTTTTGGGAAGCTGGCAGAGAGCATAGGATATCACAATCACATGCCCATAGGGACACTACAGTACCCATAACTTTGCAAATAAAATTGGTCTGAACATCATGGAAACTTCAATTCCACAGGAGTAGTGAGTCCCAGATTTTTAATGACGGTGCAGTGGTTAGAATGTAGTATTGCAGGCTAATTCTGCCAACTGATAGCAGCTCAAAGTTGACTCAGCCTTCCATCCTTCCAAGTTTGGTAAAATGATGACCCAGCTTGTTGGAAGCAATTTGTTTTGTTGCTTAATAGATTGAGACCTAGGTATGAAGTTTGGACTAATTTTTGTTTGTTACTAAGTTTTGGGCAATATTCTATTTCTATTTATGTTTATTTTGACATTTCTAAGTAGAGGCCTGCTTCTGTAATCACAGGGTTGTTTTCTTAAAGAGCTAGTATATACAAGGATCTGTTTGGGTGCATGATTAGAGGCTCTTTAAATGTATTAGGGTTTTTAAGAAGTGCAAACCTGCTGCTAAGCACCAAAATGTGTGCTTCATCGATCCTATAATTCCACTGGAAAAAATGTATGAGAATGTCTAATAGGTGTGTTGATGAAAACATCCATAGCAAGGCGATACAGAGTAATTAAAAAATTGCACCAAAAGATTGATACTTGTCCATTTACAGTATGATAAAATATTTTGTATTGAAATATTGTAGGAAGTGGTAGTTTTGGACCTGGAAGAAAAATAAATAAATTTGATCTGCTAAATGTGATTTTTAAATATTTATTTGTATGTATTTTTTTTAATAGTATCAAGGATGAAGAAGAACAGATGTGCCCCATTTGTTTGCTAGGCATGTTGGATGAGGAAAGCTTAACTGTCTGTGAAGAAGGCTGCAGAAATAAACTTCACCATCATTGCATGTCAATATGTACGTCACTGATATTATTATATGCACTTGAATCATAAGAATGGATTTAAAGAATAATAGCAAAGAAGGTCCTTGCCAGGAGTGGAGAGACAAAAGTAATTGCAGTCATAAGTGGTATTGTAATTGCTTGAACGTTAATGGGATTCTTTTCATACAAGCTAGTGTCTTAGAGAAGGAATCCATTTGAATGAAATAAACATATTTACAAAAATGTAAGAAAACAGGCATTACACTTTTAAAATACAAGGGAGAGTAGAATTATATAAAACATAGTGGAGGTTTTTATTTATCTTTTAAAAATAACAAAAGAGATCATTATTTAAGTGGGCAGGTACAAAACCTAGGTAGTGCCTATAGAACTGTTAAACATACCTTCCCATGTTGAACTTTTTTGTAAAGAACTGGTGCTGTTAGTGCCCACAATTATTGCATGTGCCTTTGCTGCATATTATTCTTTAGACATACGATTAAGTATATAATTAGCTTTCCCTATGTCTGTTTGTTGTACAGTATAAGTTCTTTGCACATTTACAAATAACTTCTCTTCTAAAATGTCCTTATGCTACTAACTCGAGAATCCATCTATTTTTCTTTGTGGGACTTTGATGCAATTTTAGGGGCAGAGGAATGTAGAAGAAACAAGGAGCCTCTTATATGCCCCCTTTGTAGATCTAAGTGGAGAACACATGATTTCTATAGGTGAGGATTTATTCTATTTGAATTTGTTGTGTTTATGAGGAGAGTTAAATATCTAAACATTTTAAAAGCCTCATCAGTTTATTTTCAGTTCAGGTTGGTTTATTATAAATGTCTGTGTATAAGACCTTTCCATCACAATTCCAAATCAGCTGGTATGTTTTTACAAGCTACAATAAAATATTGCTTTACCTGAATATACTTTTTAACAACAAGATACACGTTCATATTTGAGCTGAATTAAACCTTGAAGATAACCATGGTTTTATTTGCCCATTATTTGGGGAAATTGAATTGTGACAAATTGATTAAAATGCAGATCACGTTAAATCCTTGATTTTCCTAAAAGTTTGAAAATATCTACTCATTATTTTTTGTATATTATTTGTTTAGTCATGAATTGCCAAGCCCTGTTGATTCTCCTTCGATTGTTTGTGTGGTCCAGCAACAAACTCAGCAACCTGTAACTGGTTCACCAAGGAGGAATCAAGAAAGCAATTTTAACCTTACTCATTATGGGGTCCAGCAAATTCCTTCTGCCTATAAGGACCTAGCTGAGCCATGGATTCAGGTATGTTAAATTTCTAAACCTACTTAAACTATTTTTATTTTGTCACCTACAACTTAACACTTTATTTCAATCTGCACAAATATGTATGTTGCTGACTATATGCTTTTTGTTTTGTGAATACCCGAGTACATGTTAGTCGTTTTCCCCCAGAGAGCTTGATTTTCCAGATTGTTACAAAATGAATACACAGCAAATGCCCATGGAAAATGCTAAGATAGTTACAAATAGTCCTTGACTTACTACAATTGAAAACCCAGGTGTAAATTGTAAGTCATAAGTTGAGGCAGCCATGTGATTGGAAGTGCTTTTCTTAACATTTTCCGCTGCAAACTTGTTAAGGGAACACAGTGGCCATTAAGTGAACACATTGATTCAAATGGCATTTTTTCAAGTCAAGTCAAGTTTTATTGTCATTTCAACAATATACAATACAGTACACAGTGAAACGAAACAACGTTTCCTCAGGACCAAGGTGCTATGTCAGATAGCATAGATAAAAAATAAAAGCAGGACACAGAACTACATATAGCTCTAAATCTAAAAACTTAAGAGAGACACAAGCAAAAAAAAAAAATACCCAAGCTAAATACACAAGTATTTATGATTCTAGTTTCATTGCGTTGAGGAGTCTGATGGCTTGTACAGTCTGTTTGTGCAGGCCCGAATGATTCTGTACCTTTTTCCAGATGGCAGGAGAGTAAAGAGCGTGTATGAAGGGTATGTGTGGTCAGCCACAATGTTTCTGACTTTACAAATGCAGCGTGTAGTATATATATCCATGACAGAGGGAAGAACAACCCCAATGATCTTCTCTGCCGTCTCACTATTCGCTGTAGGGTCTTGCGATCCGAAACAGTGCATTTCCCAAACTAGGTGGTGATGCAGCTGCTCAGGGTGCTCTTGATGGTCCCTCTGTAGAAGTTTGTGAGGATGTGTGGTGGAAGCTGTGCCTTCCTCAGTTTCCTAAGAAAGTAAAGATGCTTCTGGGCCTCCCTTGTTATGGAACCGGTGTTGAGGGACCAGGTGAAATTCTCCACCAGGTGAACACCAAGGAATTTAGTGCTCTCTACGATCTCCACAGAGGAGTCATTGATCTTCAGCAGGGAGCGGTCATGTTGTGTCCTCCTGAAGTCAACAACCATCTCTTTTGTTTTGTCTACATTCAGAGACAGGTTGTTGGCTTTACACCCTTTCGTTAACTTCTCCACCTCCTCTCTGTATGCTGTCTCATCGTTCCTGCTGATAAGACCCACCACAGTCATGTCATCAGCGAACTTTATGATGTGATTCGAACTGTGCATTGCTACACAGTCATGTGTCAGCAGGGTGAACAGAAAGGGACTGAGCACACAGCTCTGAGGGGCTCCAGTGCTCAGTATGATGGTGTTAGAAGTGTTATTCGCGATCTGGACTGTCTGAGATCTTCCAGTCAAAAAATCCAGGATCCAGTTACAGAGGGAGGTGCTCAGGCCCAACAGGGTCAGCTTCCTCATCAGGTGTTGAGGAATAATAGTGCTGAATGCTGAACTAAAGTGTATGAACAGCATTTGTACGTATGAGTCTTTGTTTTCTAGGTGAGTGAGGGCTAGATGGAGTGTAGTGGAGATGGCATCGTCGGTGGAGCAATTCAAGTGGTATGCAAACTGCAGTGGATCCAATGTTATGTGCCTCATGACAAGCCTCTCCAAGCACTTCATGATGATGGGAGTAAGTGCAACGGGACGGTAGTCATTGAGGCAGGACACTGATGGTTTCTTCGGCACAGGGACAATGGTTGTTGTCTTGAAGCACTTTGGGATAACAGTGGTACTCAGATGTTGAAGATGTCGGTGAAAACATTTGCCAGTTGGTCTGCACATCCTCTGAGTATTCTGCCAGGAATGTTGTCTGGTCCCTCAGCTTTCCGTGGGTTGACTCTGCTTAGAGCTTTCCTCACGTCAGTAGTGGAGAGACAAAGTATCTGGTCGTTGGAAGGAGGTATGGTCTTTCTCGCTTTAACGTCGTTCTGTGCTTTGAAACGGGCATAGAAGCTGTTTAACACATCTGGAAGTGTGAGCCATCACTCTCACAGGCAGGTGGTGATGTTCTGTAGTTAGTGACGGCTTGGATGCCCTGCCACATATGCCGTGTGTCACCGCTGTTTGTGAAGTGTTGGTGGATGCTCTGAGCATGTGCACGCTTAGCTTCTCTGATCGCCTGGGACAGATTGGCTCTCGCTGTTCTTAGGGCTGCTTTATCACCTGCCCTGAATGCAAAATCTCGGGTTTTCAGTAGAGCACGCACCTCTCCAGTTACCCACAGCTTCTGGTTGGAGTGTGAGATAATTTTCTTGGAGACTATGATATCATCAATGCACTTGCTGATGTAGCCAGTCACTGACGATGTGTATTCCTCCAAGTCAATAGAGTCACCAATGGTTGCAGACTCCCTGAACATGTCCCAGTCAGTGCATTCAAAGCAGTCCTGAAGAGCAGAGATGGCTCCTGCTAGCCAGGTCCTCACCTGCTTCCGAACTGGTCTTGAACCCCTGATGAGTGGTCTATATGCTGGAATTAGCATAACAGAGATGTGGTCTGGTCTGAGTAGCCAAGGTGAGGGTGGGGCTTCACCCGGTATGAACCCGGGATATTTGTATAAACAACATCCAGCGTGTTTTCCCCTCTGGTTGCAAAGTCCACAGTTTTTGTTAGAAACTGCCAAAAAAGTCACATATTGCAGTCATATGTCCATGGAATGTTGTGACTGTGAAAAAGTGATCAATTGCCAAACCCCGACATGCAGTTACATGACCACTGGGCAGGGCAACTATTTACAACTGCTGGGTCGTAAGGCACCCGTTCCATGATTGTCATAAATGTGAGTGGTTGTTAAGTGACCAGTCATAAGTAATTTCTCCTAAAGCCTTCTGCTGAAGCTTTGTCTGGATGTCCTCCATCTAGATGTGATATGAATAGCTATTGCAGTAGAGCCTTCTATCTTACATTACCAAGAGTTACATCTTACATTGTTTTCTTTCAGCTGCCAGTTTTTTTAAAAAAATTATTTGCTTATTTGTTTGGTTCTTGCCTTCTCATTTTATTTTTATTTTATTATTAGTCATGTCTAATCATGGTGAAGTATAGTTAAGGACTTTGGAGACCTGTAATTTAGTTGATGTGCTACTGTGACCAGATCTTTCGTTACTATAAAATACTTAAAATTGCTTGATAGTAGTGAATTCTGGCAGACTAGAGTCCAAACATAGTTTTGAATGGTAGACAACTGCAATAGCCGTATTAATTAATAGCCCATCCGGGGAGAATGAAAATGAAGATATTTGCATTCTAACTTCAGTCTATTTAGTCTACTTCAGAGTGTTTTTCATGAATTAAATTTCTTAGTACTTTTTATTTATATAGAATTCCAGTGGCTTATTTCAAATATACATGTGTATGTGCCTGTATATATGTAATTGCAATCAGGATCTCCTTGTAATGTTGATTTTTTTCAGGTATTTGGAATGGAATTAGTAGGTTGCCTGTTTTCTCGAAACTGGAATATACGTGAAATGGCCCTTCGACGTCTCTCCCATGATGTTAGTGGTGCTCTATTATTGGCTAATGGTGAAAGCACTGGAAATTCTGGAAGCAGCAGTGGAAACACAAGTCCTGGAAATCTAGGGGCAGCTAATGGGTCATCCCAGACAAATATCTCAGGAGATGTTGTTGTGGAATCCTGCTGCAGTGTCCTTTCTATGGTTTGTGCTGACCCTGTCTACAAAGTGTATGTTGCTGCTTTAGTAAGTAACCTATTCTTTTCTAACCTTCCTTTCTAAGCCATACCAGAATTTAGAAATAGGACAGCATATTTGAGATATAGATTCTTTACTTGAGATAGAGACTGTCCAAACAAATAGTTAAAAGCAATTCATAGTAATTCTAGAAATATGCCCTTTTCTATTCTCAGTTCTCAAATGTATATATTTTCAGACAAATCAAGTTATTCTCGAATATTTAACTTGAGGCTTAGGGTAAGTTTTCTCAGATAATAAAGGGAAAGGTTTCCCTTTCCAGTTGTGCCCAAGTCCATGTGTGTGTGTGTGTATGTGTGTATGTGTGTGCGCACGTGCTCTCATCTATGTTTCTTAGCTGAGGGAACCAGCATTGTCCTAAGATATTTCAGTGATCATGTGGCCAGCATGACTATATGCCATGTGCACAGAACACTGTTGTCTTCCTATCAAAGCGGTACCTATTTATCTACTTGCACTTGCATGCTTTTGAAGTGCTAGATAGGCAGGAGCTGGGGCAAGTAATGGAAGCTCACCCTGTCACACAGCATTGGGTCTCAAACTGGGCTATCAGCTTTCCAGCTGACAAACTCAAGCATCTTAACCCCTGAGCACCCCATTTCTCTCAGATAATAAGATAGCTTAAACTCTGCCTTTTGGTGCAGATGACAAATAGGCCCATAGATAGTGCAACAGAATTCCAGAGTTTGTTCCATCAGATTCAGTATTCTGTTCATTTTTTTTCTACTTTAAATAATTTTACAGCAAGATAGATCTAGAATCCAGGGTCCATACATCAAAGCTTTGGTGCTATAATGCTAAATTTGTTATAATAATAAACAATTTTAATGTGAAAATCATTTTAAGCCTAAAATATTTCCTTTTTTTATGGGCAGAAAAAAACAGTTAATATTGCACTTAGGACATCAGCTGCACTTGATATCTGGTTATGAAAAGTTTCTTTATAAGGCAATATAGAAAATAAATGTCATTATTTGTTGCTTTGACAATTTCTTGAGCAGCTTGTTTAGAATATTTTCTACCTGTCCTCCTAGAATGGAAAGAGGTCTGATCCTCAGAAAAATTATTTTTTTCTAATTATTTATTCTTTATGGCAAGATTCAGACAACTGCTGAAAGTCATGCAATATTTTGAATAATTTCCATTCCAACTTTTATATACTGTATTTGTAGAGTGACTTGAGACGTCCTGTGATATTTTTGCATGTTTATTGTTTTGCTTTTTATATGAAACACTAAATAAGAATTGCTACTATAATCATCAAAAACTCACAGTGGCACCAGCTTTTCTATTTTCAAATTCCTAGTACAATATTTGAAGTACTCCCACTGTGCAATATTGCTGAAACCAGTTCCTTAAATAAGTTGATTCTCAATATAAAGCTGCATGTATATCTGAAAGATACATGTCACTACTTCTTTTTTACTTTAAATGTTATTCAGTTCTTGAATATAGTTTATCCATTTGGGAGCAGATTTCTCTAAAAAGTCTGAAAGCTAATAATTGGTTTTGTCATTTCCTCATGGACTCTTGTAACTTTGCCTTAAGCTATTCCCTTTGGTTGAGCAGATAATGTCAATATTAGTTTGGAATCTCAGAAAAAGGAGCAAATTCTAAATGACAGAGAGGTGTTATTTTACAATTGACAAATTTTTAGGCAGAAGCAATTTGTGTATAAAATGTTGTTTGTAAGGTTGGTGTATTTTGTGTTCATCTTTCGGTTGCAGAAATGTATGCAGGTTTTAAGAAGTAGTGTTTTTTTTTAATCTTTCTTTCTTTCTTTCTTTCTTTCTTTCTTTCTTTCTTTCTTTCTTTCTTTCTTTCTTTCTTTCTTTTTCTTTTTTAGAAAACATTAAGAGCCATGCTGGTATATACTCCCTGCCATAGCCTAACAGAGAGGACAAAACTGCAACAGCTTTTGAAACCAGTTGTAGAAACCATATTGGTGAAATGTGCAGATCCCAACAGGTATAAGCTTTAATCTATTTAAATATTTTAGATTACTGTCTTCAAAATTGTCTGTATTAGTTTTATAGTACAGAGACAAATTTAAGGGGAATTTAGCCATTGGTGGATTTGCATGCAGTTCTTTTATGAATGCATAATTGTGCTGAAAAAGTGAAAACTGTTAGGAAAAAAAACTAGAAAGAGGTAATGTGTTACCTAATACAGTACTGATATATTACGTTAAATTTTTATGTAGGCATTACTACTAATAAATACCAATAAACCAGGATTAGAAAGTTTACGTATGATCACAACTGGGATGGAATCACCATTGTTGAGCAAGAGAGTCATTAAGTGAGATGTCACACGACTGCTTTGTTTAATGACTGACTGCAATCCTGGCACACTCTGGTGTGATTGTTCAGCAGTCTTATGGATCTTAACAAAATGAATTACTTTGTTAAGAGAACAGTGACACTTACTTATAATGTATTCAGTAAGCTCTAATAATTATTCATCCTTTTATCTTAAAAAATAGAGCCTTTCTTCTTTTTACAGCCGCACAAGTCAACTTTCGGTTTCAACATTGATGGAGATGTGCAAAGGTCAAGCAGGAGAGTTGGCAATTGGTCGAGAAATACTTAAGTCTGGTAAATTTCATGTTTCTCTTACTTAAGCAACATTACAAATATAGTATAGCAGTTAATGGCACCAAATTAGATACTGCCAAATCTATTTCAAACTGCAATTTATTTCAACACATAAAATCAATTCGGCAGTTTAATTTGGTGGTGTGATATTTTTACAGCTGTATTATTTCTTTCCACCTAAATCAAATTTAGGCTTTTGATATTAACATAAAATGAGGGGAATGTTATAGATATTTTAAATTGGAATTTGAAAACCTGGTAATAAGGGCTAGTCATAATTTTTATATTAATTAAAGACTAAAGACTTGGCTATTTTAATTCTTCAAAATGCTGTTTGTTAAAAATCTCAATTTAAATTCCCAGAAAATGACCTAATTAATTTACGAGCCTCGAGACAAAGTTCAAAAGAAATCCATTCATTTATTAGGATCAACATTCTGGCATGTGACTCCTGTGGAGTTAAAACTCAAAACTGCTTCTGCTTAATTGTGTTTGAACTTTACTCCTCTATCCCTTCCCTTCTGTCATGCATCATAGATCATATTCACAAACTAGGTTGTAGAAATATGAGATCCAACTCTGGCCGAAGGTATGCATGGAATCCTCCCTCGAATGCCAACCTGATAATAGTCATGGCAACACTTTACAAGTTGACACTCAATGTAATAGAGATTCATATTTGAATGGCTCAAATATTTGCAAGTTATATTAAGAAATTAAATAAAACATAGGGTACATTGCTGTCACTAAAGAGGAATGCATAGCAGGAATAGATAGAAATCAAGATGAAAAAAGTAAAAGAGAATAGAGTTGCTTTTAAAGGGAGGAAAGGAGAAATATGTTTAAGAAGCATTCTGTATCTATGCATAACAGAACTTAGGAAATAGCATGTTGATAATTGCAAACGTAACAAACTAGTTTGCAATAGAAGATGTAATAGGCTATAGATAGTGTGCAGGAAAAAATACAAGGAGAGCCATCAGCCAATAGCCATGAAGTACTCACTTTGACCCTACTTGCTTCATCACTTGTTGCTATGTAAGAAAACAGGAGGAGAGAGAAACAGAAAAAAGTGGGATTAAAAATATTAAAAATAAATAACTGCTTTTGAATATAATAAAAAAGAATAAATGATGGAGAAAATAAAATCTTGTTGGAATGAATACTGCTCAAAGAATAATAGATTTTAGTAAACAGGCAGAATAATTTTGAATAAGAGTAAGAAAATGAAAGAAAAATAAGTATATTTTACAAAGTATATATTACAAAGCAATGTAATTTGATGGTGTGATAATTGGGGAATTTGATATTATCATTAAAGAATGATAATTCTGAGTGATTATGTCTGGATTTATTGAATTCTACACCAAATGAGCAGCTTTTTAATGTTTTCCTTTCTTAATATGTGATGGATCATAGCATTAATCCTTATAATGTCATTTGTACCTTTGAGATAATTATGCAATGAGTAACTCTATATGCAAGTTTCCAACAGAAGGAATGGCAGTTATGGATACATTCAAATACATTCAATATCTTTTATATTGAGAAGGAGAATTCTGCTCATTGTACTTTTTTTAAAAAAGCAATGAGTTCAAAAACTCAGAATTAGTTCACAACAGCAGGAATTGAAACTCGGTAAAACCACTTTATGTATAGGAAAGTGGCTTATAAGAGACACCAACTGCCAGCTCAAATAATGTAATTCCATTATTATTTTTTTATTTAATCTTTTCTTACAGGGTCCATTGGCATTGGGGGTATTGATTTTGTCTTAAATTGCATCCTTGGGACACAATCTGAATCAAGCAACTGGCAAGCATTACTTGGACGTCTTTGTCTTATAGATCGATTGCTGTTAGAATTTCCTGGTGAATTTTATCCCCACATTGTTAGTGGAGATATCTTACAAGCTGATGCTATTGTTGACAGGTAATAATTTAGAAAAACTTGCTTTTTAAAAGTTGTTCTTTAATATCAAAAGACTAGCTGGTTTAGAAAGTCTTATGTTAAAATCTGTCTTCTTTTCTCCTGAAATGCTGATTTATTATTTTTTTTACGTCTTTTAGTCTTTTTTAAAAAAATAAGTGGAAATTAACAGCTTTGTGTTCATTTTTAGGTATGAAAAGCTGTTATCTCTACTGAGCTTTGCGCTGCGGTCAATTGACAATTCCCATTCGATGGTGGGCAAATTGTCCCGGAGAATATTTTTAAGTGCTGCCAGAATGGTTGCAAGAGTACCCCAAGTATTTGTAAAACTGTTAGAAATGTTGAGCATGACAAGCTCAATACATCATACAAGAATGCGTCGGCGATTGATGGCTATAGCAGACGAAATGGAAATTGCAGAAGCCATCCAGTTAGGCATGGAGCAAATGCATTCTGGGGAATGCAGGCATGAATTTGCACAGCCTTCAGTTCCTGATAACTCTCCAGAGACGACGGAGAATACTACTCCAAGTAACACAATTCAGTTAACAAGTAAAAGTGGGAAAGGACTAGATAGTAAAAAGCGAACTGCTACGCCGGAGGACTTTTCTGACATGATGGCTGGTATTTCATTGGGACTTCCTGTTACGGCAGGAACAATGGAACAACCAAAGCCAGCCATTCAAACGAAGAGCAGATCCCCTGGTCAATGCTTGAACTCTTCTCTCTCACCCTGTCATTCCCAAACCATATTCCCCATTTTACCTTCCCCCTCTACCCCGTCTGCACCTGCAGGAACTGATATTCCTAAACTCAGATCTCAGGGATTTGTTCCCTGTAAAATACCTTCGGCTTCTCCTCAAATGCAGCGGAAGCTCTCTCTCCAGATTCAAAGAAACTGTGCTGAACAAAAAGAATTGGAAAAGCTTTCCCCTGTTTTTACCCAGGCCAGGCCTCTGCCATTCAGTCATATACATAGGCCAAAGCCATCTCGACCTAAGCCGTGTGATGTGAATAAACAGGGGGAAACCTCCAAAACTAGCATGTCACTCAATTTAAATGACGTATCACAGTGCGATAATAGTATTAGTACAGCTATACCAAGTGAAGAGACTGTTTTCACCCCAGTGGAAGAAAAGCACAGCCAACTGGATATTAATGCAGAACTCAGTTCTAGTATGGAAGACTTACTTGAAGCTCCAGCCAGTGACGGAACTGTTACGTTCAAGTCTGAAGTGGCTGTCTTGTCTCCTGAGCGTGCAGAAAATGATAACACATATAAAGACGATGTAAATCATAATCAGAAATGCAAGGAAAAGATGGAAGCTGAAGAAGAGGAAGCTTTAGCTATTGCCATGGCCATGTCAGCATCTCAGGATGCTCTCCCAACAGTTCCTCAGCTTCAAGTTGAAAATGGTGAAGATATCATAATAATTCAACAGGATGTGAGTATTTGGGGTTTTGCTATTTCTTACTGTTACTGTTGCACCATCCATTTCTGATAGCATTTTGAAGATAAATCAATTTTGTCTCTAGATATAGCCCTGTTTGTAGTGATAGAGTAATCACAATGTGAGTGCAAGGTTTTGTGGAAATCACTATTGAAAGAATGCCATGAGATACTACAGTAGAAACCACAAAAAAAAAAGGGGGGGGGAAACATACCTTTTTTACATTTATTTATTTATTCATTTGTTTACTCTTTTATTTCCAATCAAGTGCAACAGTCACTCCCAATGATGTGCAACAATCCTAAGCAATTAACACACTCATAGTAATAAATTGTTATGAATAAAACATTATTCCTACATTACTCACAGTAAAAATTCTAAATAAATAAATTAATGTGCTGAACCAACAATAAGTCCTAATAATAATCTTTTATTAAATTAGATCACATTAGATTTAAAATTGATCCCTCATAAGAAGATGGACAAAAATGTCAAATGCAGATGAAACATTTGGCTGACTGTTGGACCAACCATAATATATCCAATTTATATGCCACCTAATTTTCAGCAACTCTAATTGTTCCTCAAAACAAAACAAAATCTGGAGGAATTTTGGTGAAGTAGGACAAAGCAGCTGCATATTGTCCCCTCTACCCCTGTCCTCTTCAGTACTGGTCAACATGCCTCCTAGCCAACATCTTTCCTTCTCTTCCCTGCCTTCACTTCTCAGTTCTAGTGCAGCATATCCCGCTCCTTGATTTTCCCAGCATCATCTCCTCTCAGCTGCAGCTCTTACATATCTATACCTCTATTTCAATCAGAACATAGACCAAAATGTTCTAAACGTTTGTGTTTTTGTTTGAGTTGAAGCCAAGCCGAAATCAAGCATGTATTCTGTGCACAGAATGTGTTGCACACTCTTACTATTGTAATAACCAAAGTTTTATGTATTCTCCATTAATTTGGTTACTTAAATAGTTCAGTCACTAAACCTGGGATTTATTTTGGGGAACAAGAATGAGAATCTTATGTCTATTTTGTTCATTTTACAGTGAAGCAGCATTTAATTTCTTGGCTATTATGAACTCTAGACATTTCCAGGCACCCTGCCCCGGTTAATAGAATACAGATTCCAGGTCTTAGGGGGAGGGGGGGTAGTCCACTGACTCACCTTACTTACACGTGTCGCCCCCAGCCTCCTTTTCGCTGTCAGAGGCTTTTAGAAACTTCTGTAGCTGTAAGGCTTTCCTGAAGAACTCTGGACTGATCCGGAGCTCTGTTCTCAGTTTCAGAAGCCTTCAGGGAAGCTTTGCTGGCTGCAGAAGAAATGGGCCGGCAAGGCAGTTGTTGTGGTGTGTGAGGCCTGTTCAGTTTGTTCACCTAGACCAAGGGCTCCCAAACCTGGTCACCTAGGGGCCCCAAACCCCATGGCCACAGCCCATTACCAGGCTGTGGCCTGTTTGAAACCAGGCCATGTGATAAATGGGCAAACATGCCCGTGTGAAGCTCCACTTGCGCATGTGGCAGGCACTTGGGCTCCCACAACTCCATTTGTGTGAACAAAGGGCACTTGCACTCACATGCAAAGCTTCACTTGCATAGAAGGACGGCACTTGCACTCATGTTCAAAAGTCCTGTCTGCTCAAGCAAGTGTAGCTTTGTGTGCGAGCCCAAGCTCCCTCCGCTCACGGGTGAAGCTCCATTTGTGCGAGTGTAGGGCTGGTGTGCTGCTTGAACAAATGGAACTGTGTGCACATGGGCGCCTGCCACTTACATTCCTCCTGCCCTCCGCCGTGCCAGGCCGCCAAGCTAGAAAGGTTGGGGACTGCTGACCTACACTTTCTGAAAATACGCCCAGGTGGGAGGGGCAGTGAATTAGAAGTCCTTCATGGCAGCCTCCACTGTTTGGAACACTTCTCCCAGATGTACACTCAATAGCTATTCTGTAAAGAAACAATTCAGAAGTTTTTCAGTGTGGTTTTGTCCACAGTGAATGGTACTGCCTATTATAATGAATGTACTTGAAGTTTTGTATTGTTGTTTATCATTTGTCTTTGAGTGCCTGCCATAGTCATTTGGGAATGGGGCAGGTTTTAAAAAAAGTAGGTATATATGTAGAAACTCTGTAAACAGATCTTATAAATTGGTTATTTTTTTCTTTAAATTGTTGGGTGGGGCAGGTCTCAATTGGACAACCTGTGAGCTTAAAGAAATGCTTATGCTGTTTGCGTATTCTAAATAGAGGCTTCATATGTTTGTTTTATGAATACATTCATCCTTTCCCCACCTAAATTCCAAAGGATTACATTATCATATCTTTTATTTAATTTGCAGACACCAGAAACCCTGCCTGGGCATACCAAAGCAAAGCACCATTACAGGGAAGACAATGAATGGCTTAAAGGTCAACAGATAGGCCTTGGAGCTTTTTCTTCTTGCTATCAAGCTCAGGATGTTGGCACTGGGACATTAATGGCGGTGAAACAGGTAAAAAAGATGTTCATGAATATTTTGAAAGCATTTGCTGAATTAATATTTGGAAAATAACATTAAGATGTGCAGAACAGGTACAAACATATATATATAGAGAGAGAGAGACAGGCATTTTATCATTAAACAATCATTTTTCCCTTGTGAAATTTATTTTTAAAAATAATCATTCTCATGAAAAAATGTAGCATAGTATAGTTTCTCCTTGGTCTTTTAAGATCATGGATTGTATCTTTTCTTTTTGTTCAGGTGTTTAAATATTAAAAACTAGGCTAGAAACTATTAGCTGAAAGACCAGAAAATTTTGGATTTTGAGAAGAACTGAATAAAAGCCAACTTATTTCTGTCTTGTTTTACAAATTGTTGGTTTTTACTTCACTAATAGAACCATCTCATGAGATGCATTATGCCAGAATACAGACAGTCCTTGCTTAATGACTAGTTGTTTAATGGCTGTTTGAAGTTATGACCATTCAAAAAAAAAAGTTACGGCCCATGCTCAAAATTAAGATTGCTGCTACACCCCCACCCCCACAATTATATAAATTGTATTTCATGATGTTGCAATTGCCATGCATTAATGACTGGGTGCAATGTCTCATTGTTAAATGACTATAATTTGTGAACTTTTTTGCCAATTTTCAGAAGAAAACTGCAAAAAACCACTCATTGGATGTGCTGGATTTGGTGAATGACCATATGATTTGTTTCATAAGTGCTGAGACTCATGTAATAACTATTGTAAAAACAGTCATAAAATCAAGTCAGATCATATGTTGAGCCACTTAACAACAAGCACAATGACATACAACCAAAATTCCAGACTCAATTTTGGTCAAGGACTACATGTATTTTCATATCATAGTGCTATAAGATTTATTTCATTTTTCCCTTCCCTTCACTTGCAGATCCCACAAATATTTTTCCATTGTTCCACTAATTATCAAAGCCTATACCAGCATGTTGTTTTTCTAACTATTTGCTGCAAATGGGGGTGGGGGGACCAAAAGTAGGATGTAGAATTGATTAATACTGTCATCTTTTTGGTCTCTTGGAAGCACTTGTTGAATTCAATATCACAATTTTTACGACTTTAAAATGGGATGCATTGCATTTTGGATGCACACATTGTTTCAATATCACAATATACAATTTTTATGACATTCACCAAGAAGTGGTTTAACTAGGTATTGTACATGGAATGTTTCTCTGTATGTAAAGACTTATTTGGAGTTCCTCTAGGGAAAGTATATACAATTTATTTGAATTTTGTCACAATAAAATATTTATAATAGCAGCAAAAATAGCAGGTATTCAGTGTGTGGGTATGTGTTTTCGTAGATTTTCACGGGTGTAGGTATGCTGGTCTTGTTGTATTCGGCTCTTTTCCTGTGTAAGATTGAGAGTATTTTGGCGGTGTTTCGATGAGGTCCCACTCGCCATCTCCAGGCTGGTGCCTTCTGCTTCGTGGTTGTGCGAGAAAAGCATGATCGTCTTTCTGTAAATATTGGTGGGGGTGTGTGGAGTGCTGGCTTTGTTGCTGTAAGTGGCTTGGTTGGCTATGTTGTTACATCTTGATTAGTTGATGGAGTTGATGTATGCAGATTAGTTGGCTGTTTCATAACATCCTGTGTGGCTGAGGTACTAGCTGTGTGCCCATTAGTCTTTTGTGTTGTAGCGACCTGGGTAATGGGCTGTGTGATGACATCCTGAGCTCTAGTGTAGTGATATCCTGAGTCTTGTGCTGCAACATCCTGGGAGGTTGGCTGCACACATCTCAACAGCCTACACCCCAAAATACAATTTACTATGGAAATAGAA